TGCATTGACTTACTCCTAGCTTACTCATCTCTTCTACCAGATGTAGAGAGCATAGCTTTTTTCTTTTCCTTTGTTTCCACTAAAACCTTGTCTAATATAGATTCTCCAAACAGTAGACTTCCTGAGAACTTTTCTGAAGAAAGGTTGCTTTTTGATAGTGGGTCCACCTTCCAGTGTTTGAGTCAGATGCTCCTTCTAATGATGATATTAACCGCCTGTGCTTTGGCACAGAACTGTATCGAATCTTGAGATGCATCTGAGGCAAATTGGGCAGTTCTTTTTGTTTTGAGCAATATCCTTTTTAGCTCTAAGGGATCTGTGTCCGGGTTTTGCAGCAAGTTGTCTGCCCAGCTAACTATGGCTCAAGTGAAGTGGATAACACAGCGAATGCCCTGAGGGCTAGAAATTAAGCCTCATGCGACTTCTTTACGGCTGTTTCGTTTTTGCAATCTACCAAGTCCTTGAGGGCATTTTCGCCATCTTTTGGTAACACTATGCCAGAATGCAGTGCAACCATTGGGGCATCCACCAGAGGTACTTCCAGATCCTCCATGGTACCATTAGGCAACACATAAAACTCTTTGGCTAACGAGGCTAAAGGATTTCCACTGACTGGTAGTTCCCATTCTGCATTAATGGCCCCATCAAAGAAGTCTGGGAATGGTGATATTGTATGGACCCTAGTGGGTCTCTTAAACCCTCTGTTATCTAGATTGGCTGAGGTTGAAGGTCTGGGTTTTTCTGGAATGTCCAGCTGGTATTTAAGAGTACTGATGACTTTATTTAACAGGTATTGGAAATGTTCTACCTGGAAGAGTCTAGATGTGTTTTCCTGGACATCAGCCTCCTCTCCAGACCATTCATCCTCTTCTATGTCAGACATCCCCTCTGCAGAAATTTGGATCGAAGAAGCCTCTCTAGATTCAGAGTCTGGGAAACGTAAATGGTGGGTGGATCTCCTAGTTCAAGTATGCATGTCTCACAACTCAGATCTTTGAGAAGTCTTACATGATATGGGTGCCTGGGACACCTTTGACTCTTTCGAAGAGTGAGCCCTAGATTTCGAGCCTTGTGAAGGCCTGCCTCTTTTGCCAGCGGGGGAGGGCTGAGGGTTCTCTGATGATGAAGAGTCTGGAGACTGAAAATGATAGGGAATCCTTCCCTCGGTGTGCCTCCTTCCCTGCCTTTCTGTAGACTGCTTCTGTCCCTGAGGTCACTGGCCAAAAGGGAAAGCCTGAAGTGGGCAGTTGAACTGGGCTTCCAAAAGGCAGCCCCCAAGTGGTAGGGATGGGCTATGAACATCTCAAGGCTTGGGCCATCCATTCCACACTGGGAGTTGAAAGAGCAGGAAAAACTGCTCCAGGCGCCACATTTGGGGCTACTTGAACAGGCAGCCTGTAGGGAGTAAAGAATTGGGCCCAGGGGGGGTTGTTACTAGAGTTCCCCCACATCCTAGCTGTCTATTCAGGGGCTCGCTGGCTAGATTGTTCCCTCTCTGTCCGGGAGGTTGACTATCTTACCTCCAAGCGTCCTGCAAACTGATCTTCACCTCACAAAAGCTCCGGCAGCTCTTGGAGCTGGTGTGGCACCTGCTGCTGCATGCTGCCCTAGCCTGTAATTCCAGCCAGGTTGAGGCTTGATCGTTGGCTACTGATGTTGGGGGAGAAGTGCAATCTGAAGCCTCGGGTCTTTCTCCCCCCATGTCTGGCTGTGAAGCCATCAGGAGGCTTTCCAGAGCTCTCTCCCCACTGCCAGAAGCCTTGGGCAGGAGGGGCACCTCCCCTTGATCTTTTTTCTTTTTTGCTGCTGGGACGGGTTTTTTCAGGCTCACCAGAGCCTCAGGATCCTCTCGAGTATGTTCCATTATTTCTATTTTTTCTCATTCTGTGACTAGACCTTTTTTCCTTCCGAGCAGAGCAAAGCTTGAAGCATCCTACAGGAGCAGTAGGGCTATCCAGACTGGGGGGGTCAGTCAGCCTTTGATCTCTCCAAGAGGGACTCACAAAAATTTGCATAGCCCTATCAAGAACGAGCAGACCTGTGACCTAACCAAGTCTGGATGACTTCCCCCACTGAAGGAGAAGAGTAATATTTCTCCCTCTCCCAAAATACTAGAACTTGAGCGCATCCAATGAAACTGATGGGCAGTACGTTCAGGACAGACAAAAGGAAATACTACTTTACCTAGAGCGATTAAAGTGTGGAATTTGCTGCCAGAGGATGTAGTGATGGCCATAGGAATAAACAGCTTTAAAAGGGGATTAAGATGGATTCATGGAGGATAAGCCTATCAAAGGCTACTAGCCATGGTGACTGAGGGGAACCTCCACATTCAGAGGCACTAAGCCTCTGAATGCCAGAGCCAGGAGGCCTCCAAGGGAAGGCCTCGGCCTCTATGCCCTGTTGTTGGCCATCCAGAAGAACTGGTTGTCTACTGTGTGAGACAGGATGCTAGACTAGATGGACCATTGGTCTGATCCAGCAGGGCTCTTCTTATGCTCTTATGTAGATGCCCATTTCTTTCAGGACAAATTCAAAGTGCTGGTTCTTACCTTTAAAGCCCTAAAGCAGGGGTGCTGAACTCATTTGTTATGAGGGCCAGATCTGACATAAAATGAGACCTTGGCAGGACGGGCCATGCATGTTATAAAATGTAATGCCAAGTAGCGGAGATATAAACTTTATAAAGGCCACAGACAAACACAATTAAAGATTTTTTAAAACTTAAAACATGCTTAAAACTTGAGCACTCTTGCAATATTTTATTTAACAGTCTTTGATAATTGACACCTCTTGCTCTGAATTATGGCATCAAAATCTGGAGACAATGTCTGTGCTGTAACAATCTTAAGTATGCTGTTCAGGTGTGTAAGCTGCAAACCTACTTTTGATTTACTGGCATTCATTACAGAATCTCACGGTCAATGCTTTGAGCCTAAGACTCAGAGGAAAACATGAAATGGCTGGGCATTGTGAGCTTTTGTACATAGTTGCTTCGTATGCTGGTCAAGAACATGTGAAGGCATGATGTAAGGAATATGTGTTTGTCTAATAAATCACAGTGTTCCCCAGAGAAATAACTGCAACTCCTATACAGCAATGTATAGTGGTCAGTATCATCCTACAATCTGGGAAGTTCAAAATCCTCAGTCTACAAAGAAAACATTCTGGGTGAACTTGATCTGGCTGCACACTCTCAGCCTAATCCACCTCACTGGCTTGTTATTCCTCATCTAAATAGATCACATTGCTTTCTGACTGAGAAAGACTGGATCATGAGTGCATGAATACAGTGAAAAAGAAGGGGAACCCAGTTGTACCTAGGAGAGCCCTGGCATACGAAGCCCAACAAATTCTCTCTCTCTGTAGCAAGTCAAAAAGCTCATACCTTGAACAAAACTATGTTGGTCTTAAAGGTGATGCTTTGTATCTCATCCCTGCGATTTGGGGACTGGGCAAAGGAAGCTCTGGCTCTTCCCCTCCCTTCCCCTGCCCCCAAGAGAGGAGGAGCCACAGTCAATGGAGGGAAGAGAGACTTTGCTCTGCAGCTCCTGTGGGGGCCGGATCCAGCCCACGGGCTGCATTTTTGTCACCCCTGCCCTAAATGGTTTGCAACCAGGATACCTGAATGACTGCCTTCTTCCACACTGTTAAACCCGCTCTTTAAGATCTATCTCACAAACCCTGCTCTTGGTGCCTCTACCTTCAGAGATAGTGGCAGTAGTGGCACCTCACTTATGTGATGCTGTTCCCATGAAACTTGCCTGGCAACTATGCCACTATTTTTTTAGTCACCAGGTCAAAATGTTCCTATTCATCTAAGCTTTTAATTAACCAGTCTTTTGAGATAGTGTACTTATACTCTGAAGTTCTTATTTTAAGCTGCTCAGTGATCTATGTTTTTGTGCTGTGGCTGGGTATATAATGCTGGATTTTATTATGTTTTATTTTGTAAACTGCCTCAGGCAGGTTTCCTGGAAATGCAGCATAAAAATTTGCGAAACAAACAAGGTCCAAAACCAGGCAGTAGATTTACAATTAAAGGAACACGTAATTCACAAAGTAATCACTGCTGCTTAAGGCACTGTTTCCAAATCTGGGTCCCGACTCAAAAGTGGGTTGTGAAGCCCATAAAAATGGGTCTTGGTCTTTTACAGTTTTATTGATTTGTGAATGCTCTTTTTTTTAAGTGGGTCACCATACAAAAAAAAAAACCTTGGGAACCACTGGTTTATGGGACAATTCTCCCAGTTGGATTGCATCTTTATTTTAATAGTCAATATAACCTCAGACAGGAATGACAGCCCGTTGAGATAGCTTTGGGACAGCTTTTCTTAGACAGAAGTAAAAAGAACAATTCAAAACTATTTTTTCTGCGTTAATTTTAAATTATGTTCGTTGGAAGCTTTACAACACCTTTCTGAAGTAGTAAAATCAGAACTTTAAAAGTTATACATAAACAGAATCCTAAACAGGATGTGAGAGGGGAGGACAGAAATGAGCATCACTTACTAAAAATAAGTTTCTTCTCTCAGGGGCACAGAAAATGAAAGAAAAGGTATGGGAACCTAAGTGAATTCTATGCAACATATCCAGATGTCTTACAGCTAACAATCCCTTAGATTTCACCACATTCCTTGGCTTGTCTGTGTGCAGTACATGTCCCATCCTGTGCGAACACTTAAATATCGGTATATGCAATCATTAATACAAAATAGAAATTACACTAATATGCCCAATCCTTTGAACTTGGATCATTGCTAAAGAGTTGGATACGCAAAATATACTGTACTTTCAATTAAACATAATATTAAGCAGATATATACTACCTACATACAACCAAATGAATGAATCAACATACTGTAGTTACATAAAAATACATCTAAAACCACTAAAATGTTTTTTAAAAAATCTGTTTTTCAGACTTAATAAGGAAAACATGTATTTTGGTGCCTAATAGACTGCTGTCAAATGTAAAGAAAATAATCTGAAGTATTCACCTCCAAAGCTTGTGCTTCCAAGCGAGCACGTAGCTCTTTTTCTTTGCAAAGGAACCATTCTTCCCAAGGTGAGAGACTATCTGCCACAGGTGACTCATTCTGTTGCATTTTATTTCTAATGCGCTCAACACTATGGAATAGCAGATAAGCAATTAGACACATCATGTTATACGTATATGATTTGCAAACAAAACGTAAAGAATTAAAGCAGTCTCAATAAGAAACATGTACTACAAATAACACAAATAAAAAAAAATAAACTTGCAATATGCAATAGCAATGCATTTAAAGTGGGAAAACAATGTGAAAATATGCCAACATTTCTGCAAATATCCAAATCAGTACAAATAAAGAGACCACAGAAAGTAGATTTTCCTGGTATAATGTTTTTAAATTTTTTGGACAGATTACATAATTTGCCATGCATAAAATATTTTGGCTGCTTCTTTTTCTCCAAAAAACCACCATTTTTATTTTCCTTTCTTATTTTCTGTTCACCTGGACTGTTTTATAAACATGTTCTACATTTTCAGTGTTTTCAAGGCATTTCAGTGTAGTCAGAAACAAATCCTATATTTGAACAGAATTTATTTGTATTGTCTTTTGTCAAATTCGTATTTGCAATATCTCAGAATTTTGAATACCACAAAACCCCCAGACCAGTTGCTGAATATCCTATCAATACAGCAGCACAATGATTTTGTTAAAGCCATAAAAGTAAATTGTATGGCTTTCGAGGCAGCACATTTTGGCAAACTTTTGCACATTTGGAATTTTGCTTGGATATGTTAACTGAGGTTTGCATTATTATTAAAATCCTGCCCACAGTGGTACTGAAAGTTACTTCTTTTTAGTACTCTCTAGTTTGAGATTTGCCAAGCTGTTCCCTCTCCCCCATCTGCATTTTTGCTGACCAATTCAAAGCAGTTATACCCTCCAAGACCAATGAAGTCAATGGGCTTAGAAGGATGCGACTTTGTTCGGAATTGTACTTTTGCACTTATCCTTCTGTAATGCGTTTTGCAGGATAACTTTGCAGTAATTACTCATGGGTCTTTTGCTCATTCCCATATCTTGTTTGGTTTGGATTTCTCCTTCCCCACCTATTGCTACAACGAACTTGCAATGTTCTCCTGTTACAGCAGTGCCTGTACATCTGTCCTAGCATGCTGAAGCACATTATTTACCTTCCTTCCTTCCTATTTTTATCTGAACAGCTAAACAAAGAGCAGAAAACTTGTTATAATTAACCACATCTTGATTTTGCTGGCAAATCCGTCTGCAGGCTGAAGGAAAGATAACATGGTTTGTATACTGGAACCAATCAGATGGGACTATCCTAGCTGCCTCTCTTGTGTTCAAACAGCCAGAGAGAAGGCAGAAAGTGCAATTTGGCACTTGGCTGTCCAAGGCAAGTGGAAAAGCTTTCTATAAGCTTTTTAGCTATTTTCTGAATTTGTTTCTAGTTCTTTAACATTCATTTAACACTTTGCCTAACATAAAGCAAATCTATTACTTCAGCAAAGCAAAGAAGATATGCGACTGTAGTTCTTGTAATGTGTGGGACAGAAGCAACTAACTGTTTTATCAACATCTTGATTTGTTGTTTCCTTTATTTAGTACTTTGAATCAATGGAATGTACAAGCACACCCTTGTACATTCTAGTACGGCTTCCTTTTATATTTTTGCAGGTTATGGATAAAGTTCTGCTGAGCCTGGAACGTAGACTGACAAGGGCTGCAGCAAGTGGTAGGACTCACGGAGCGGTGCTCCCATCACATCTGTAGTGCCCCCCCCCCGGGCTGGCGTGCAGAGGAGGAGGAGGCTGCTGCTGGGGGAGCCTCTGCTGAGGCTGAAGGACATGTCACCTTGGGCACATTTGGCTCAAAGGGGGAACCGCTGTGGGTGGTATCCCATCGGTATCCACTACAGGGCCTATTGAGAGGCTGTTGCTGCTGCCCAAGGAAAGAAGAATCAGCCACCTTAGGAGAAGCGGCAGTCACTGGCATTGCTCAGCCCTGGCCTGGCCTCTCTCAGTAGGAAGACAGATCGAGGGCGCAAGCGGTGGCCACCCTCCCCCTCTTCTTTTTCTTCCGGTTGGGGCGAGCGGTGCTACTTCCGCTCCCGCCATCTGCATACTCTGGGCCATGAAGCTTGGCGTTGCTGCATTCTCTTCTCCCTGCTCAAAGCTGCTGCATGCTTTTGATTTTCTAGACTCAGGAGAAAACTTGCTTTGGATTTAAACCCTCCCTGGATGTTACTGTTGGTGATGAGAGAACCTAGAGCAAATGGGAGGAAATCCTGGAGCCCCAAGTACAAGGAGGAAAGGAGGGGGAGGAGATCACGTATATGTGTACCATTACTCACAAACACCTCTTTGGCGGACTTATAAAGATTGCAGTGAAGAAGCAAGTTTGTATTCTATTTCTATTGCCCTAGCCCTCCAGCAATAGATATAGAGGGCTGGAGGAAAACATGGAAGTCGATTAAGTTTATGAGAAGCACCAATTATAAGGAAAATATATACAAGATTTATCACAGATGGTACTGGTCGCCAGATAAGATAGCTAAGTGCAATCCAACATTTCCTAAGAACTGCTGGAAGTGTGATAATAATGTGGGTACCTTCATTCATATGTGGTGGAGGTGCCCAAAGGTGCAGGAATTTTGGAAAATGATACAGAAAATAATCCTGAAAATAACAAATATTAAAATTGAGCTATCTCCGGGAACGGTGTTGTTAAATATGCTACCAGAGACCTACAGGTGGAAAAACAAATATATGATAGTCATAATACTTACTACTGCTAGAATTTTGTTAGCTAAGTTTTGGAAACAGGATTATATCCCGAGGAAAGAAGATTTAGTGTGTCGATTATTAGAAATGGCAGAAATGGACAAGTTAAGTTTAACCCTTCAAGGAAAAGACGAAAAAGTGTTTGAGGAAAGATGGAAGCGTTTATATGAATGGATAGAACAGTGTGGATAAGACTCCAAGAGCATTTTGATGATATTTGTACTGTATATTATGTTTAATGAAAAAGGAAAATAAATGATTGGAAAGAAGCAAGTTTGTACTTCATTTTGAGACCATAGTTTGACTTCTGCTGGTGCTCTTTTTAAATTTGCTTTTAATGTCTTTCCAGATTGTGAATTTGGTTTGGTTCAAACTAATTCCATTTAATTTAATTAGTTCCCCCGGCGCCCCCTCCCCCCAAAATTCCTGGCTACAAGGCTGAAACTGACTTTAAAAATGCAGATTTTTTTTTAAAGTAAAAGGTCTCTTGGAGGCGCTGGGTTATGAAACTACCAACTACTTGACAAAAACTGCCAGCACTGAGAACACTCCTAAATTGGTCACACAATGATTCTAGTTTTAAAATATCCCAAGACCACATTCTCTAAATTAACTACAATTGTGTAGATTCTGTTCTTAGATTTCAATAATTCATTATAGTATTCAAAACACTTCTGGCACAAGACACTATGTGTTCTACTTACAAGGTTTCTACACTTCAGAAAGGAGAAATGTCAACAAGAAGTAGACACACTGTCATATTTTCCAATAAACAATCTAGACGTTAACCACACCCATCAACAGTAGAATAATGGCTACAGATAAGATTACTTGACCAACTGTAGTTATCGAAATCAATAAACACAATAATGTTGTTGAAATTCTATCATTGCAGCTCTGCATACGCAGAATAGTTTGCTTGTTAGAAAAGACCAATGGTCTGATTCAGTATAAGGCAGCATCATATAGCAGACTGAAAAAACCACGGATGCCTCATTAGACAATTGTTGTTTAGAATTCAGAAAAGATAACCAACTGCCTGCAAGGGCTTGTGGGTGTCATCTCATCTTCCCACCACCTTCACTGGCAGCCTCCACAGCCTCTCATTTTTCCTGCTTCCTTCCCACCAGCCAGCCTACCTAGTTTTTATCTGTTCCTCCACCTTCAGCTATATTTATTATTTACTAGCCTGATACCCGTGCTTCGCTACGGTATTTAAGTTCCGTAAATCCAGTTATAATACTGATGGTCTGAAGTTTGAAATGTAACATTTGTTGTAGGAATTCTAATGGAGAAGACTGTAGTGTAAAAAATGAAGTGAGACATACGTTGGGGTTTTTTTCCTCTACTGAAGGACCTCTCTGTAGACCACATTGGTGGTTCTGCCCTCAGGTGCTAGGATTACCAAACTGCTTGGTAAACTCACTCTGGAGATGGCCACATAGAACTGTCCATGTGAGAAGCAGTCATCTGCAATGCTCCCTCTAAGATGTGGAGTCTTGTAAGCAAAAATTCTACTTTGTGAGCTACTGGCATTAAAGTTGTGAGCAAGCGATTTGGGTACTGCATAAATTAGTTTGCTCTGGAGCCATCGTTCCTGAGCTAAATCAAAAATCTGTGAGCTGGAGGCTAAAAAACTTTGAGCTAGCTCACACTAACTCAGCTTAAAGGGAACTCTGCTTGTCTGTTAAGTCTTGGGACTTGTTGTTGGTCATAGGTGATCCTGCTGGGGCAGCCTCCCTGATGGATTAAAGTACCCTGGCCCTGCTCCTACACCTGACAAACACCTGCTTGTCTGGTATAAGGGGGGGATTGTGTTTAAAGGCATCAGAGAGGCTGGGCCAGCAGCAGCGCTAAGGCAATCCTGCTGAGCAAGCCTCCCCGACGGCTTTAAGGACTATGCGCCCCAACCCTTGACAGGCGGTTTTCTGTCAGGTGTAGGAGGGCGCGTCTGAAGGCATTGGGGAGGCTGCACCAGCAGGATTGCTAAGGCAATGCTGCTTGAGCAGCCTCCCCGATTGCTTTCAATGCTCTGCCCCTGCTCCTGAGAGACAACTGCCTGTCATTTGGTGGACAGGTGGGTGGGAGTGTGTCTAAAGCCTTTGGGGAGGCTGGCCCAGCAGCATTGCTAAGGTGTTTCTGCTTGGGTGGCCTCCCTGATGGATTAAAGTACCCTGGCCCTGTTCCTACACCTGACACCCACCTGTCTGCTGTTGGGGGGAGTGTGTTTAAAGGCATCGGGGAAGCTGGTCCAGCAGCAGCGCTAAGGCAATCCTGCTGAGCAAGCCTCCGACGGCTGTAAGCATCCCACCCCCTCTCCTACACCTGACAG